GATCTCATTCTGCGCACTTGACACAAACCCTCGATAGCGATCTCTAGGACGTCCCTTTGTAAACAAATCGTTTGAAATAGAGGGTGCTGTTTTATACATCTAGAAGTCGGTTGAGATGCCTCTATGTCTGAACCAAAATAATATAAACAGGTTATATCGCAACCATTTCGCTGCCATGTGGGCCTGCCACGCACGCCACGACAAAATACGAAATAAATGAAATAAATCAAACAACACTTTCTTCCCACCAAGTCCATGGTTGTTTATGGCCAAAATAATCAACAACTGGTGAATACAAAAGTATTATTCACCTGAAATTGTACTTTATTTACGGCTTCCTTGTTGCACTTCCCAGTTCGCACAACACTCGGATACACGTACACCACGATGTATTTCCCCTTCGGCGCTCATCTTGACTCTCGTGAACATCGTCTTCCTCTGACTCTGAACTGTCTCGCATAGGTTAAAACGAATAAGGCTTGTTGATATGAGAAAAATGTATGTGCGTAGTGGCGTCACAACATGGCGGCGGGTATTCCTTTTATGGAAGCAACCGGAAGGAAAGATGTCCAAAATGGCGGACGTTCAATTTTGGAAAAATGACCACGAGTTTTTGGACTCCTTTCGTCACTTTCGGAAGGTAAATTCACTTTTTCTTGCTTTTTACTACAAATCTAAGCTATCTCAATAGTTTTAAGCTCCCATATAAAATACGACTGCTAGACTTCCGTTCTCCTTTAATGTGAAACTCCAAGACGCGGGATGATTCAACACAAACTTGTCTTACAATATTCGAGATGACCCGGAGGTAAGCATTAATAATCTCTTACTAACCGAGCGAGAGGGCCCTACTGGGGAATTTTGGCCCGAGGTCTTGCGAATGCAGCCAGGCCTGTACAAAAACAACTTAGGTCCAATGCTGATATTCTACAATGCGTCTCGAGCAGGCTAGGTTAGTACGTAGTTTGTTCTATGGCTCTCGAAAACAAAAAGAGGCTTATGAGCGTTTTCATGGAAGCAGTCAGTATAGCAAAAATCCTGATCAAGAAAGAACCAAGCAGCCGATTTAGGGCTTTCAACAAGTTGCTCGAGAAATCCCACAAAGTTGCCCGCTGTTACTCAAAAAGTTGCTCAAAATGTTGCTAAAAAAAATTCAAAAGTTGTTTTTTGTAGCGAAAGTTGCTCAAAAGCTGCTAAAAAAAACCCAACAAAACAAAGAAAAATTCCGTGGTTTTCTTCCTTTATTTGCTCTGATGTAAAAATATGCAAATTGGACAACAAAAGTAAGACTTCTAAGCATTTTTGTGCAATTTTGCGGCGTAGCCAACGTTGCCAAATAACGTTCTCTTCAATTAAAACCAATAAAGACTACGCATCAATGTTAATATTAATCTTGTAAAAATTCTTCACCTGAGACACTCGAGTCAGTCGAGTGTGAATGTTCTACCACCATTTTGAATTTTCTTTCAAAAAACCCGCTGACCTAGCAGCCCGGCTCAATGCATCTTGCACCCATGATCCGCCCCAGAGGGAAGGGGGATCTGGCTCCTTTTTCACAGGAAATTCATAAGTTCTCTACCAAAACACTTTGTGAAATATGGAAGCGAGGCCAATTTAAGCACTAAAAGCTGCTCCAATTTCTCAGAATTGATAGAAAACTAGAAATAGCTCAGAATGCGAAAAGTTGCTCGAAACGAAACAAGTTGCCCGAAATACGAGAAGTTGCCAAGAAGTTGCCGAACAACATGTGGAATTAAACACTACTCGGATTTACCTCAAGACTACCTTGCCATATAATAAGGGGGAATAATAGGGAAAAGTGGGGAATATTGGTAATACTCGCTTTTTGGGCTAATTTTAAATGCGAATTTCCTCGGTGTCGCTGTGCTCGAGTCATCAATCAGTCTTGTTGGATCGGAATTTAGTTCAGCATCATCATCCAGGTTCATCCAGGCTATGGTTACGTCTGCAAATGGTTAAGTGCGAGAAACTATGACGAGCTCTCCAGTAAGACTGTAATTTCTCCATCTCAGCAAAGGAAGGTTGATCACCTTTAAACCAAAACTACTGTTGCTTTGACTAACATCAATGGCACAAGTCAATGTATGGACTTTAAAAGATGTTCTTACATGTTCAGGACTGTGCCCACCCATAATTAAATAGCATGTCGGTTTGCTTTCCCTGTTTTTTGAATGGAATTCTTGCCTTTTGTTAAGGCCATGAGGCGCTAAGGTGAAAAGTTGGGCACTCCAACGAGCTTCCTTTGTAACAAGAAGTTTGTCAGTATCATCTTGCCTGTTGGTGTCGTTAATTTGCATGGTCGATACATTGAAAAGAAAAATCTTGTACTGAATGTGACTGAAATGCTGTTAAAGTGGACTGCAACTTCACATGATTTAAATACAGTTTAATTCTACATAACTCACGAATTATTGAACGATTAGAGAACAGACGGAAGCTCCTTCTTTGGCAAGTACCTTATCGCACAAAGCCTGGGAATTTTACAAATTGTTTACTCAGCATCTATGCTGGACATTTGTTCAGATGACACTTCCAGAATCAAGAAGTCCATGTTTAGTGTTATTTGGAATAAGAAACAGGATAAGGTCAAAAGAAAAGCTACGTGCCAAGACTATATTAATGGGGGACTACGGGCCCCTGATCCAAATACTCCTTTCAAATCGTTGCGACTAGCCTGGATCTCAAAGCTTTTAGCACCTAGCGGAACTACGACAGCACCATGGTAATCTATTCCTTCTCATTTTTCTCAGAAGTACGGTGTATTAAATTTCCTTCTTCGTTGTGATGGCGACCTGAAATTTTTGGAGAAATCTGAAATCTCAACCCTTTATAGGCAAATACTAGCCAATTCCTGAAATTAAGGTACCTATACCAATATGACAACGGTCAAGATTTGATTCTTTTCTACAACAAAGATATCCTGATCGATGGGAAAAGTTTCTTTCTACAGAAATGGGAAGAAAAAGGCGTCATCTTTATTCAGGATATTTTGGATAGCGATGGAAAGCCTTTAACACTTAAAACTCATTCCAAGGAAAATTCAAGGTGAACTGTAACTTTTCAACTTACTTACAGGTTATTTCGGAAATCCCTAAACATCTACTACACAAAGCAAGATCCCTAAATAGGCATAAAAGCCTCTCAGCTGACACAACTACTTTTCTCCTGACGCCGTCGTCGAATTTTGAGCTTTACAAAATGAAGTGTAAGGATTACTATTGGCTTTATATGAGAGCCAGTGCCTGTACTGCAACAGGACCACAAAAATGGGAAAAGGAATTAAACTTAGAGAGCATTGATTGCCCATGGAAGACAAAATTTACTAACATTGGAAAAATACTTCGTGAAAATAAATTAAGAGAATTTAATTTCAAGTTATTCCGGTTCCACAGATTAACTGTTACTAAGAAGGAATTGTGCACTTATGGTTTAAATGACGAAACTACACGTTTTTATTGCAAAGAGCCAGACTATTTCTCCACTGATACTTTTCTGGAACGTCACTTTTCTCAAGCTTTGTATGCTAAAGTTGTTGCTTGGTTTAATGCAAAATTTAACTGTTTTTTTCCCCAACGTCCCACGAAAAATTGTTCGGAACAGCTCTGAACTCTCAAAGAAATAATGAGCTTAAAGTTAATTATTGTTTATTGTTTGTCAAATACTATTATGCCACCAGAAAATGTATTCTTAAGGTTTTAATATTAACGAATTTGTCATAAAACTAGGACAAAAATTAACCATTGAGAATCATCTCAAAAGAGAGCTACTCGTTTGAAGATGCTTCTTTTTAATAGATTGTGTTTCTAGTTAATTTTGGTAAAAATGTAACATACCCTATACCTTATAGTCCAACGGTTTTGTGCTCGACTACAGCCACATTATCTGCTTTCTGTTCTTTACTTTAGTTTCTTTTGAGCTTTGTAACGTACTTAATGTAGCGATGTATTTGTAAACAGTTGAACAATGTCAATAACATTGTCAAAAAAGGAAGGACTACTACAGCAAGCTGCAACAAAGCTAAGAGAATTTGCTACAAGCAACGTGTAGCAGCCACTCCTGCATTGGACTGGTCAGTCAACGCTATGGGTTGAGTTGTTTTCCAGAGTTTCCCGTCCCTCTCCCCAGTTAGCGTTCAGAGCGACACAGAACCCATTATCACAGTTTCACGTCGAACTCAGAGTCGTCTGCACGTGGCTACAAGAGAAGTGTGTTCTTTATCACTTCACATCGTTCGACTTAAACATGAAGGAAGAACGACACCAGAGCTAAGTGAAAGGTGCTCAGCTACATTGTACAACTACCTGTTCTGTCCTTCCTATTTAGTTTAAGGGTCTACACTAGCCTTCTATTCTTGCACGCATTCACAATTTTCAGTTTTTGAAATGATAAGAACCGCTTGAAGTGAGAAGGGTTGCTAG